GTCTATTGTGTCAGTGCATATCTAGAGATGCTTAAAAATGCAGATTATTGACTTATTGATGAAAAGAAGCCATAATAGACTATCAGGTAATTTAATATGTTTCCGTAAAAAGCCCATCTACTGTGTGAAGCCTAAATGTATGGATGTGATGAAACTTAACAGCTCCAGAGAAGTCATTACCTCAGCTTTGAGACACTTTTGGGGACATTTTTATTTATTTCCATATTTACACGAGTATTAATGAGATTCAGGAATATTGCAGTAAATTACAGATATGTACATTTTTTTTCATTTGACAGATGATAAAGAGAAAGCTACATGTAGCAGTTTCCCTTTAATATGGGTGCAAAGGCAAAATATCTAAGTGAAAGCAGATGGGAGGTTTGATAAATCCAGAATACAGCAGGTTAAAACTTACAATTTTTATTTTCACTTTTCTAACTGATTTATGAACTGTTAGCCACATTTCATCCCTCTCTTTTATAGCTATAACTTTCCCCAGGTCATCCTGACATTTATTCTGTTACTAATGAAATATTTTGGATGGATCCATGTACAGTATGGCATTGAATCTGGAAATCATTCCTGCGACCTCACTGAAGAATGTAATTCTGTCCTCACTTCACATCCTCCCATTCCAGTCTCACTGCATTGCTTTTTTTTCTTTCTAGTTATGTGTGACGTCTGAATATACTTAAAGAATCTTAGACAGGGTGGCTGTAGACCTGGGATGTGCAAAATATGGCCCATGGACCAGATTCAGCCCCGCAAATGATTTCTGTCTGGCCTGTGGCTGCTCCTCTGAAGGAGAACTGTATCCGGCCTGTGGCTGCCCTGGCTCTCAGCATCTCTTGCCCTTCTCCCCTTACTGTGCCTATCGCTGGCTACAGCAGAAGCTCCAGTGACTAGGCAGCCACTCCTCTCCCTGGCCTGGTTCACCCTGCCCAACCACTGCCTGCCCCTGCCCAACCACTTCAAGGCAGGGAGCACCAAGGTCCTAGCCAATTTTCAGCCTGGAGAGGCTGTCTGCATACAGCTCTGGCCCTGTGGCCATTTGCAGACCAAGAATTGAAGCTCCGGCATAGTTCTCCCCACTGGCAGGAGAAAGAAAGCCAGGAGCTGTGGGTTATCCAAGCCCTGTCAGACTGGAACTTAGTAGGGGCATCGTGGCTGCTAGTACAGTGCCACGCTGTGTTACTATGCAGTGCTTTGGGCTGCACCATGTAGGCACAGCTGGAGGGGTTGGCGCAGCTCCTGCCTGACCTTGAATCCCTGGTACATGGCTGGGTTAGGCAGGACAACTGCTCCAGTTGTTCCCATGTGGCCCAAAGTGGCATATGGAACAGTGTGACACCAACCTGGCCATTTGCCAGGGACTTGGGGAGGAGGTACACAGTGCTCAGAAGGGGGGAACATAGTGTGGCACTGGCCTAGCCCAGATATCTCACAGCTCTGAGCTAGTGCTGCACTGTATTCCTGTGTGCTGCTTTGGGCCATGTGGGTGTAGCCGATATATCTCCTGCCTGACTCAACCACACACCAGGGACTTGAGCCGGGGGAGGGGGTGCAGGGAAAACTGTGGGGTCTTGCGCCCCTGTGTGTGTGTGGCCTGCAACTCCTAAACAAAACTCAAGTGGTGACTGGGGCCTCCTGAGTCAGAGGGGCACTTGCCCCCCCCCCCAGTGGCCAGTCAGCAACCGGGGCGAGGGGTCCCCCCACGACCAATTGCACTGACCATGGGGAGGGTCCCCTGAGGGTCCCCTGCAGCCCACTCCCTGGCTGGTACTTTTAGGGGGGCACCAGCACTCCTGCCTGCCCCCCCTGCCTGTCGCTTAAGCGGAGAACACTGGTTGTCAGGGGGATGTACCAGAATTCTCAGGGGGTGCACCCTATACATGTCGCCACTGCATGGGGGAATCCCCATCGCCTGTCTCCGAAGCTTGCTGCTGCCCAGGATGTCTCCATCTCCCTGGGCTTATGTGGAGAACTGATGGGGAGTTCTTCTGCTTGCTGCTGCGTGGGAGCCTCTGGGTTCAGTTTCAGAATGGCAGGGGTGTCCCTGCTCTGTGCTTACATGAGGGGTTGAGGGAAATATTTCTTCTGCTGAGTGCTCCTGGGTACAGGGAATGAACCAAGGGCTCAGACCTATCCTGGGGCTGTGGTTTCCTCTTTGTTCTTTTGCAGAAAAACTTATACTGGAGATGGAGCAATGCACACTGGGAAGCTGGAGGACCAGCAGATTGCTATCATGCAATGGATTTCTTGCTACACATGGAAATTAAAGCTTGATAACAACCAGCTATAAAGTTAATACACATTTTTTAGATCTAACTGTATAGGTTGTTGCAGCTTTTAATAGTGTGATAGGTACTTCACATGTAGCTGGTCTCAGTTAACTGTGCAAAGAGGATTCAAGAAGGATAGTTCTGCAGTTAAGTATTAAACACTTAGGGCTTGTTTGTTTGTTTTTTTCCAAACGAGGTCCATTTCCAGTTGGGCACATGCATGAAGTAGCTGGAACCTACTGGCAATTGAAGCCTTGTGAAAAATCATCCCACTTCATGGGAGCTCCTGGGTGCTGCACTGACGTGAAAATCAGGGCCTGAATTGTTAATTAAACTCTCATCTCTAATTATTAATTAAACTCTCAGCTTGCCAATTCAAACTTTATCCAGGTCAGTATAGCCAAAATTTGCCATGGGATGGATGGCTGTTAGCTAATACACAAGTCCTAGTATTTTTCCTAATGTGCACACACACTTTCGTTATAGTTTTGCTTTCACAGCCTTATTAGGGAGGCTAAATGTTCAATGAGAACAGAGTGTGAACTGCTCAGTCTTTCCAGGCTGCAACAAATAAGAGGCCAGGTAGACTACAGGGCTGCTATGCTGAACATATTCTGTGGATAAACAGAGGGATTTAATGCCCAGAACTGTCAACCCAGAACTAAAATTAATGAAAAGAGATTAAAATAAATAAATGAGCCTCAAGCATTCTCCTATTCTAGGCAGTGTCTGTTTTAGAACAGCTGTCACAGATAAGAGTGAGGGTGAATCCTGGCCTGGCCAAAGTCAATAACAAAACTCCTATTGATAGGATACAGTAACACTTCACTCTGCGCTTACCTTAAAGCATATATTTAATTCCAATTGAAGTCCAGTGGTGACTCTTGCTTATCTTTAAGTATATGCTTATGTTTAAGTACTCTTGTGAGTCATCTTAAGTAAGAAAAATGCCACTCTGCTGTGTCTTTGTTGGCTTACAGTGTAGCAAAACCCCCAGTTTTTCTTTATTTTAAAGTGCATTCCCTCCCCTTCCCCAACCATTTCTGACTTTTCCTCCTCCTCTCTATTCCTTATAGATAAGTATAAGTGAACTAAGACAGGATAAGCTTCAGCATTTTATTTTGGTAGCAAGTTGTTTTTGTTTTATTTATTTTTTCTCCTTCTTTTTAAATAAGTGCCCTATTATGGATATCTCCTGTTTTATATTGTATAATTAGTATGTTTATATGGATTTTTACTGTTCTATATTACTGTACTGGTACTATATAATTTAGGCCTACATATGTAAGTTACCACAAGTCATGTCAAGTTTCCATTTTGTTTATCAAGTCTCTATCTTGTGTCCACTGCCTGGGCATACCCTGTTGTAACTCTGTTGTAACTGTGTGACTCATACTTACCCCTCCTATGTAAATTGGTTCCTGAATGAATGGGGATGAATGAGGGTGCTTGAGAGACAGTGGCAGTAGGTATAAAAAGAGCTTCCTCTGAATGACTGAAGCATCAACTCAAGGACCCAACCATCCACCCTGCATTGACCCTCACTGGCTCAAGATTTGGAAGACAAAGACTGCTGCAGAAGCCACCCAACCCACTATTACAGACACCTGAAACTGCATGTCCTTACCTAGGAGTGCACATGCTCAGTACACCAGGGGCTGGCCCTTGCCTGGGCAGGCCCCCTGCCACTAGAGTCATAGAAGGTCTGCCCCTATAAAAGACGGCAGTGAAGACAGACCCAGTGGGAATGCCCTCTGGACGACACCGAGCTGAAGGAGACCCCAACTGGTCATCGAGGATCAATTTTCAGCCTAGGATAGGTAGATATTACTTGCACACATCCTCCTACAATTTGGACCCTCTCTCTCTCCTCCTGGACTTCAGCCCCTGCATCAAGCCTCTTTAACCCCTACTGCCATTGTGTGTGTGCATGTGTGTGTGTGTGTGTGTGTGGGTGCAAAGGAACCAATAAGATATCATGTCACCATCTGTTCCTGTCCAATAAACCCACTGTTCATTTAGAACCTGAGTTGGGTTTTGTCTTAATGATCTCCCAGCCTTACTCCAGTTTCTGTTCTCTGCCCCTCTGATCTTCCTCCTGTCTCTCTCTCTCTCTGCCCTTGCCTTCTTCCCCCAATCTTTCTTTTCTGTCTCTCTTTCTGTTCCCCTACTTCCCGTCTCTGCGATCTCTCCCTAACTTTCCATCTCTGCTCCCCAGAGCCCCTCCTCCCAGCTTGCTGATCCAGCTGGAGCCCTTCTCTGGCTCCTGGCACTTGCCATGAGTCCCTACAGACTCTCCAGCTGCCCCCCAGAGCCCCCGCAGTCCCCGCTGGTAGCCAGAGCCCTTCTCTGGCTCCCAGCACCTGGAGCCCCTCCTCCCAGCTTCCTGATCTGCCCAGAGTTCCCTCTCCAGGACCTGCAGTCTTCTCAGCAACACCCCCTGCCCCAGCCTTCTGGGGCCCCCACAACCCTGTGGCCTGTCCCCGACTACCCCAGAGCCCTCCAGCCCGGCTTCAGGTGTCTTGACCCAGCCCCAGCCCTCCTGGCACTGCCCCACGGTTTTCTCAGCAGCTCGAGCCCTTTCTCCAGCTCCCAGCACTGGCAGCCTCTCCCCCGTAGCTTCCTGAGCTCCGCGGCAGTCCCTCTCCAGCACCCAGTTTCCCCTTTGCCCCTCCAGTTCCCCCCCCAGTCCCAGTTTCCCTTCTCCCTGCTTACCTTTTGGCTCCCCCATAGCTCCGGCTTCAGTCCTAGCCTCTGTGCCGGCTTCTCTCCAGCATCACTCCTCTGTTCTGCAGGCTTTGGGCATTGTTCTTTAATCAATTAACATCAGTTAACCTAAAGTAACCCCAAGCCTCAGTTCCTCAGCCAGCTTCTCTCTAGTCTACCAGTTCTAATCCCAGTTCCATCAACTTTCACTCCCCACACTTTCTCTCTCCCTCTCACCTTAACCTTCCCCCAGGTATCCCAAGTACTCCAAGCACACACACATACACACCGTACCATCCAAGTTAGGAACTCACCTGTGTGTATGTGTAGGTGGGTGGCATGTGTGTGAACTGGTGAATAATATGTATGTCATCATGTGCATGATATATGAATTGGTGATCCATGTAGCTGTACTCAGTGTGTGAGTACTGACAACTGATTGTTGTCTAATTTTCGCATGTATAGTGTGTATGAGCTTGAAATGGTAATAGGTATGTGCCTAGGCTGGTAATTTTGGATGTGTGTGCGTGTGCCTGAGTTGGTAGGGTGTATGCACCTAATTGATTTTTGAGTGTGTGCATTTGCAATTGTACACCACACCTGCCTGTCTAACAGCGTAATATTGAGATCCTGAGCATTGTCCTGACCCCACAGGGCAACAACGGCATACATCATAGCAATGATAATAATACTAATGTTATAATTTTTAAGTGAATTTGGACCTTATTATTGTTGTAAAGAAGTTTTATAAGCCAACTGTGGATGATTTAGGATCCTTGAAATGGAAAAGCTTACACAAATATTTCAATTCTGTTTAATCAAAGATGTGCTAACAGAAATTAAAACATTTGTTAAAACAACATCTAAGAGACCCCATCTAGCCCCATAGCTGATTGCACATGCCTCTTATTCCATCTGGGTTTCCCAGAATAGTGGATGTCAAGTTGCAAGCATTTTTAAGGTCTGATTCTGCTCCCATTGGAGTCAATGGTAAAACTCCCACCTGATTTCAGTAGGAGTAAGTCTGGATGGAGGCACTATGCTCGAGAACGTGGTTCCATTTACTGCCTATAGTCATACCCTGCATTTCTATCGTTTAGCTTGTACCAACATAGAATGCCTGATGGTCCTTTGTTCATCTTGATGTTCAGCCAAGGGCTACCTTTAACTTTTCCTTTCAGTCCCTGTATTGAGAATGCAGCACACGCCTGGCTCAGACTCCATGTTCCATCTGGGTGACCTGACCTGAAGTCCCTTAGACCTCTTTCCCTTGGGAACTTAGTGATGTATTCACTGCACCAAATTTGCTTTCAGCATTTTAGATTAATTTTTCTGTAGTGAGTAGATTTTAGTCTGCTTGTGTGTTTCTTTATTGCTGTCTGCTTTTTATCTAGATACATGGGGCCTCTTAGGGTAGCAGCTTCTCTCCCACTGTTGCTGAATTCGGCAGACTTTCTCCTAGTTTTATGTTAATATTCTGGTTGCTTGTATGCATTCCAGGATTACAATTTTAAAAAAGGAGGGCGTGAACAGCAAAATCCACATCTGGACTGAAATCTAAACTCCCTCCAGACATAATAGGTGTTTGGAAGTGGGGTCTATCTTCATGGTTATATTAAAATGACCCTATACATTCCACTGAATACCTGGTCTGCCTGATTCAGCTTTCCTTTCCATCCCTATCTCATTTGCATCGTTGACACTCTTGTGCTTTACAGTCACATACTTGGCTCTTGCCGTATAACTAGCACTGCTATGATACAAAGTCATTCCAGTGCAATACATAAAGTGGAGTATGTTTTATCACAGGACAATAAAAGTCACCAACAAAAAAGGTCTTTGGTTTTAATAGAATGAAAGCGCTAATGAATTAGGATTAATGGAAAATTAGGGTATAAAAGACAGAGGAGAGCTGAAGACAGATCAATGGCTATACCTATAGGCCTGAACTGACAATAAATCAACAGCCACAGCAGCAAGTACTTATGGATACATCAGGCTAAATTTATCAGGACTTTAAACAGTGGTGAAAATTGAATGTTTAAGTTCAAGAGAGCAGATCTTAACAGATTTAAGGGAAACAGTTCTCCTGAATACACTTGGAGCTTACAGAGGTATTGTGACAGACATCTCTTACACTCCTAAAAGTAGGCATGGAGTTGCTACTTTTTAGGCATAGTTGCCCAGAAATGACTTGGACATGTTTGGACTGGCCCCTTTAGGCCCCAAAGCCCACAGAGCCATAGTCAATCTCACTGATTTAGCTAAGGCTGAGAATCCTCCACCCCTTCCCTATGCTGCTGCTTTGCCTGCTTACTTACCTGCACTGTTAAGTGAACTTCTGGCCCACTCAGTTCTCCAGCCTTCTCAACATCAGTCACTGTACTCTTTTAATCCTTCCTTTCCAAGAAACAGAAGTCCACAAAACCTGCCTTTTTGACTTGGGGCTGTATGGCTGTGTTTCTTCATCTACAGAAGCAAAGGCTTCCTGGGGTGGTAAACACTGTTCCATATCTGAAATGCTTTCTGGTTCTCTGGACCTGGTTCACGCTTCCTGTGAAGGGTCTGTTACCATAGGTGAGGCATAGGTGGACCACGGGGGGGAAGACGTGTCCCCCTGAGATTGGCGACTGCCTCCAGTGTCACTGCTAGTCACCCCTCCCTCCTCACTGCCGACACTGCTGTGGCTGCCTGTGGGCGGTCCCTGCTTGGCCTGCCCTCACTGCCGATGTCAGCGCGGCCACCTGCAGGCAGTCCCCATTCACCGCTGCCGTAACCCCGCCGCTGACACCACCGCTGTTGCCTGCGGGTTGTCGCCTGTGCCCCACCAGCCTCAGGAGGCATGGGTCATTTATGTCTGTTACAGATCTCTCTTTGAAAGGTTGAACATGGACCTCAGTGATAGACTTCTTAGGATGACATACAGTTTGGTTTATGCTGAAAAGCTTCAGCTGCTGTAGATAAATTAGCTGTGGATATGAGCCATGCTTGCATACATATATTAGCTAGGCTGTACTAGAAGGGTTATTATCAACCATTTTCTTTCAGGATGGCTTTGTCCACGCCAGGTATTTTCTGGTAGATCTATGTCAGCTAAAGGCCTTCTAGCCAGAAAAATTTTGGCAGTGTAGCCCAATCCACAGAATTGAGGGTGCTATGGCCTTTGCAGTAATTCACAGTGTTAAGTGCTGAATTTCTAACAGCATCCGTTCTAACTTCTTTGACAATAAAAAAAAAAAAAATGCAAGACATGCCTCTACTCTGGCAGTGCTGACATTGACAAAAAACTAGCTCTAATTTCAGTACTGATTTAGCGCTCATTAGCCATTTGTGACAGCTAAATCTTGATAAAACAGAACATGCTGCAGAAAACCAGCAAAAGCAACACAGCCTACACTCTGCTTCTTCACCAATTCTCTTCTCCCTTTCCACAGTGATGATGAATGTTTGCCATGGAGAGATTAGATCATCCGCTTCACTCAGGTAATAAAATGTTCCATGCATCTTCTTTTTAGTCATCTTGCTGATTCTAAGCAAATTTGACTTGGCTGATATTGGGATTCAGCTAATGTGATACTGGAAATATTTTAAACTAGAAATTGACTGTGAACTGCATTTCTTCCCATACATTAGAATAACATTAACATACTGTATTCCCTTAGACTTTATTTGTGATAAAACAAAACGAACAAGCCAACAGGGATGGGGGGTAGAAGAAAAAAAGTCAGGGGGCTGTATCTGAATTTGAATGTATAGATCTATTTTCACTGTTTAAATTTCCTCAAGGAAAGTCTCTGTACTTCCACTGGCAGCTATATCACCACCATAAACTTTCCACTATGAATTAAGGCCTGGATATGACATAATAGAGCACCATAAATAGCACGCTCGCAAGCTCAGTGCTTTATTGCCTCTGGTAGACAGAATTTTAAACTGGCCTTACAGTATGATTGCCTCTTAGCTAATAATTAGGTAATAAAGTTTGGGGTCAAGCCTCTTGTTTATAGCTAAGAGATTATTTTTTGGAGAATAGACTTTTTGTTGAAAAAGGCTGTTTTGGTTAACATGAAACTATGTGCTAATTCAGAGGTGTCTACTTTAACCAGCACTCACCTGGGAGGTTTGATTCTCTCCTCTGCCTGAGCACATCTGAACCCCTATGTAACAAGCACTGGGTGTGCCTATCTCTTTAAGAAGGAAAAAGGCTCTGGGAGGAGCTGAGTCAGCTGTCAGGGGAGCACCTGACCAGAAGAGGGGGATCGGGACCAGGAGGGTCCAGTGCCTAGAAGGGACTAATTACCCAGGAGTAGCCAGAATGGGTGAAGTGCCCAGGTGTGGGTGGCCAGATAGTGGCCTGAGCCCAGGAGGGGACTGGAAAGCTTGATGGCACAGGCACTGCAACTCCCAGCAGTGGCAGAGGCTGGGTCCCAGTATAGGCTTAGGAATGACGCTAACTGATAACATCTGTGAGGCATGGACATGGTGCAAGGTTGGCTGGAGCCATGTAGTGTAAGTCCTTAAGGTGTGGAGTAGTGACACCTGAACATCAACATGGTTTCAGGGATCCCTGGGGCAGCTTCCCTTTCCAAAGCTCTAATAACAACAAGGTGTGGCAGGAGAAGTGAAGGGGAGCAAAGCTGGCAAGTGAAGGCAGAGTAGAGGCCACGTGGTTACCAGGGGGCATTGCGGCCATCCCTGGGAACAGCACCTGTTATACCAGAGGTGGGCAAAATACAGCCTGCAGGCTGTATCCAGCTGGCCAACTGATTTATACCTGGCCTGCTTCCAGCAGATCCTTCTCCTCCTCTTCCTACCCCTGCTGTGTCACAGGCAGCAGGTAGCACAGGGAAGTGGTTGTGGGGGATGCATGCCGGGCACCACATGCCAAACCAGGCAGGGGGAAAGTTCCAGCCAGATGGCTCTTCCCCCACCATGGGGCTTCAGCTTCAGTTTCTGGTCACCTTCCATCCACTCAACTGCCTGGAGTGATGAGCAGCCACCAGCAGATGGCAGAATGGGTGGAAGGCATCCCTGCTGAGAAGCTGTGCATACTTTCTGGGTGCTGGAGAGAGCATGCCATGGTTCAGCCTGGTTGGGAGTGGACATGACTTGGTCCTGGGCTCATGCAG